CCTTCTCCATCTCTCCACACCCGATGTGATTTTCACAGTGGAAGATGAGGGCAATCAGACAACACCATCCAGACATCTACACAAGTTGAGACATTCTAGAGGTATGTGGAGTCCAGTGTAGCTAACTTTCTAGAATTGATTTTAGGATCTTCTTCTTCATCACCATCCACACCATATCTAACCGCTTCATCCTCAGTCATAAATCCTCGAGATCGTTTGGAATCGTTTTCTCTCAATTGTCCACACGTCGTTGACTCAAGTAATAAGAATGTGAGTCAATTTTTTTGTGATCTACTTTTTTCTCATTTTTGGAGAGTTTCCAATTCAATCCTGTTATCGTAAAACCCTGTACAGTTTGAGCTCAATTATCTCGTAACCTGTAAAAGATATCAAAAATGTGTTACCTGATGAAATGTTTGTGATAATGAGATGAAATTCAAAATTTTAAACTTCAAAACTTCAGAATCTTAAAATCTCGTGATCTCGGATTTAGTTGACAACTTTTTTGAATCTTTGACAAGAGCTGAGATAAACTGGATTAAAGTTGAAAGTTACGGTAGTTTTATTATCTCCATCCGCTGTTCCATCCCACCCATTTTCAGGTTCATATTGAAGTGGTGTGGACGCTGAACGAAACGGTTTGGCTGAAAATCGAAAACGGACATCAGCGGGTCGTTCATGGCGAGTCGACGTTTAACAAGCGACGAGTGTCAGGTTGGTTAGGAATTCCATAAGAGGGGATACTTCATGCATTAGTTAGTGCGGGGATGAAAGGGCATAAATAATCGGTTGAGTCCCTTTAAGGGTATGGAAAGGAATTGTGAATGGGTCCAGGAAGTTCATAAGGATAAGTTTTTGTGGCCTAGGGATTTCGATTTTGACGTAAAAGGTCGAGGACCTGGGATCTAGGATCATAATGGTATATGATCCTTAGAATCTGAGATCCATAAGATCTAGGAGCTTTAGGTCCTAGAATCCATAGAATCTAGGACCTCTGGGATCTAGGAAACATAAAATCTAGGATCTTTAGCATCTATGATCCAGAGAATCTGGGATCCATAGAGGATCCGGAATCCATAGAATCTATAGAATTTAGGATACATAACATCTAGGATCTATAGGATCTGGGTTCCATAGGATCTAGGATTCACGGAATCATCAAAAATTCCGAATTCTGAAATTCGAGAAATGTTGAAAAATATCTCGAAATCAATGAAGACCAAACGGAAATCTAGAACAAAGGGAACTAGTCTGAAAATCCAGAATTCAGAATCACCGAAAATCGGAGAATTCTGGAAATTTTCAAAATCTGAAAATTCCAGAATTTCACATCTGCGAAATCTGGGAAAGCTGAGGTCAAAAGTAGGATTAGTCCAGAATCCGAAAAATTCAGAATCTAGAAGTTTTGGAAGAAAGTCTGAAAATTTCGAAATCCTAACATAAGATCTAGGATCTTCAGCATCTAGGATCCATAGAATCTTGGACCTCTGGGGTCTAGGAAACATAGAATCTAGGATCTTTAGCATCTAGGATCCACAGAATCTAGAATCTGTATGATTTATGACTTCCAGGCAAAACCGTGATGCGTCTCCTGCTAAACAACGCTCGCTACCTGTTCGACTACGACGAGCTCACCGGTGACTTCTCAATGGAAATCTCCCCTGTGCTCTGGTCCACCGACTGCGGTGCCTGGCAGTGCCACGTCACCGTTCGTCAACCCAACGGAAAATCGCATACTCTAACCAGCCGTCGTCGTATAAAACCGGGAGAGATTGGCGTGCGAAAGGAGACAAGACGAGAGAACGTAGCTGTGGCTAGGGTGAGGAGGAATTAGAGCTGTCCAATGGAGCGCAAAAGATCCAATTTGCAGATAGAGCCAACTAGTCAGCCGGAGCAAGTCGAGTTTGGTGACCTACTGTCGTCTGCTCCGATACAACTTCAGAAGCGTGGCGATCGTTCGTCGGATTGGGGTCAGAATGTAGCGTCATTCTCCAGGAATTCAGATGACAATGTGTATATGACAAGGAAATCAGAGGAGATTTCGACAAATGTCGTTTTTGCCAGAAACGATGGACCAATTCGAAAACACCATCATCACAACAAATCACCGGTTCGGCATCGAGAGTTGGAGCGCCTGTTCGACGCACAAATTGATTATGAATTAGGTGAGGGATCAATCGATTCTCGATTTTGTTATTGAATCAAATTCTGCTTGGAATAGAGTAGCCTAACTTTCTCAAAGTGAATTTTCTAGGCTACAAACTTTCATGGCCTAGAAATAGCCTTTTTTCATTGCCTAGAAAATACGATTAGAAAACTAGGCCGCCATGGTAAATTACCTAAAAATAGCCTGATATTCATCTGGTTAGTTTTCTAGGCCTATTTAACTTGGCGGCCTAACTTTCTCAAGACGAATTTACTAAGCCATTATGATAAATGGCCTAGATTTAGTCTGATATTCAACTGGTAGGCGATTTAAACTGGCCTAAAAGCTAGACCACTTTTACATAGTAGCCTAATTTTCTCGAGATGAATTTTCTAGGCCACCATCTCTCATGGCCTAGAAATAGCTTGAAACTCATTTGGTTTGTTTTTAGGCCATTATAACATGTTGGTCTAACTTTTTCAAGTTGAGTTTTCTAGGCTACACCAATGAAAAAGTCACTCTTTGAAGGCAAAATCTTTTTTTTTAAATCAATTATCAATTTTGCAGATATGTCCACCGACGACATGTACTACCTAGGCTCCAGAGCTCATGCTCGAAGTGCACAATACTATTATAACGGAGTGGGGACGACCAATCATTGTTATACATATCTGCCAATTTTTTCTACAATTTTCGTCTTATTTTTATGACTTTGTATATATTTTTAAAAATATTTTTGCTGTAAAAAATCCTGCTCTATCTGAGTTTACAGGTCCCAGAGACATAATTTCGTGTATGCTACGACCATGTCCAAGTACCACCTTACTACTTCCGATTTTTGGGCGTTTGGAATAGATGTATGGACATCTGGACGAACAGATTTCGCAATTTTGATTTTTGGAGTTTATAGGAAAAATGTGTGCATTAGTCTACACGGCATCTTATTGTTGCCATGCTATTTTGAGCCTTTATTTTCAAATCAAGTAAAGCTGAGATGACCGAAACTGAACTCACAATAAAGCGATTCTGATTTTTGTGAAAGCTGCAGTGTAGACTAATGTATACATATTTCTTATAAAAATGCAACACAAAAAAATTACCGGAGCAAAGTAATGTACGATCTATTCCAAAAAGCCTATGACGCGGTTTTCTCAGAACAAAAATTTGAAAGGGTGAATCCTGTCTTCATGACGCGGTCTGTATGAAGTGGTTCAGTTTTTCAGTAGTCACTATCATCACTCCCAGTTCTTTCTTAAAATTCGGACCTAGTAAGCTGGTACTTGGACGTGGTCGTAGTAGAGGATGTTCAAGTCACGAAATTAGGTGAAAAATGAGGAGGAGGCAAGTGAGCCTGTGAAATAATCAAACATGAAGAAAACGTTACAATTGATAAAATACTAAAAAATGACATGCGTTTCTTCAAACAACATCTAAGACCTCGGCATGTTTATGGGACCTGTTAACTCTCATGGCACCTGTAAACTCCTATGAGACCTGTAAATTCCCATGGGACCTGTAAACTCCTATGGGTCCTGTGAACTCAGATAGAGCCAAAAATCCACTGCATTTTTCGATTCAAAATCACTAATAAATGGGTATGATTCTATCGAAAATTTGGGATTGCTGTACCTAGTATCAAAAATTGCCCAAAAACTTCCAAAAATACATTTTTAAAAAATATAAAAAAACTATATGCGTTCGGGGGGAATCGAACCCCCGTCGAATGCTTGGAAGGCATCCATGCTAACCATTACACCACGAACGCACGTCTTCCTCTTGACGCATTTTTCGTACATAAACCTAGCGTTGAGGCGATTTTTTCGTGTTAAGGCGACTGGGAAGTTTCTTTATGAAAACTACCCAGAATTTTCCGAAAAAGAAACATATGATTTTATGTATTCGGCCAATTTGGAACCTCATTTTTGCCGTTTTTTAGAAATTCTCCAATCTTAATTTTTCAGAAATTTCGTGATTTTTCGAAAACTCAAAGATTCGAAGTTTTCCGGAAATGGTTACTTCTACATTTAAAGATCAAAATTTTTATAAATTCATGCGCCTTTGATTACTGTAGTTCTGCAATAGTATAATGTCGACATGGCCTAACTTTCACGATTTGAATTTTCTAGGCCATCGGAGTGGATGGGCCTAACATTCAACCGGTTTGTTTCCTTGGCTATTCACCACGGTAACCTAACTTTCGGGTTACTGTCCAAGAAATGGTTTAACATACATCTGTTGTGCTAATTTAGGTTCTTATGACGGTGGCCTAGAAGATTCATGTTGAAAAAGTTAGGCCACTATGGTAAACGAACTAGAAAACACATCAGGAAATTCTTCATCAAAGTTACCCAGAATTTTCCGAAACAAGATGCATATAATTTTTTTATTTCAAGTCATGTAAAGTGCATGTAGAGAGTATCCAAGAGTGAGGTATATTGTAATAAAAGAACCGGATATAATAAGAAAAGTGAGAGAAAAAAGTGTACAAAATGAAAAAAGTAACAATCAAACAACTCGCTTAATCTTGAGTTCGTTGCAATAAGAATGAGCAATTTGAGTGGTGGAGAGCTCTTCTTGGATATGGTAGAAAATCGATTCGAGATGATCCAAAGGCAGTTGTCCGATTTTGTGATCTTCTAGGAGGTCAGAGGGAACCGAGGATTCTGGCCAGAGGGTTCTGGAAAATCAATAAAATCCGAGATCACGAGATTTTAAGATTCTGAAGTTTTGAAGTTTAAAATTTTGAATTTCCCAATTTTCAGAGTTTCCAAATTGTCAAAAATCCCAGTAAATATTTTTTTCAGAATTTTTGAATTTTCGCGATTTTCAAAAGTTTTGGAAATTCAAATTTTCGAAGAAAAGTTATATTTTTATATTTTTAAAAACTTTGAACATTTCAGATTTTCCTCATTTCCTGTGTATCCTTTCGACACGACTTTGGGAAATCTTTTCGATACGAATGCCTCTTGAAGTGGTGGCCTAACTTTTGCAAGTTTGGTTTTCTAGGCAACCA